AATCTACCATCAGGGCCTATATTCTGAAAACCGATATAGTATCTTCTTAGGGCATCCTTGAGTTCGTTGCTGTGCGATAATAGTTCTATAATCTCTATAACAAGTTTCTGGAAGAACATGATTTCATTCATCTTCCAGCTCGAGATCTTTTGAAATCAGGAGGGTCAAACAGATCATTGGGCCTACCTGACGTGCGTTTTCTGCATTTTCAATGAAAACGACTTCATTTCTTGAGTAGAAAGTGCAAATTTCAAAATTTAATATCGAGAATTTTTGCTCTGGAATGTAAGAAATGACTTTTGTATCAATTTGACTCAGCACAATCATGAGTAACAATAAATTATCATTCAATTGTTCATTGTCCATTCATTTATTTAGTTTATTTATACGTTTCGGTAGATTGAGGATCAGACTTGTTAAATGGTTGTTCCTAAAGTTTTACATCAAGCATTTACGTAGTATTACATATTTATAGTTTCTTATTCGTTCCGACTAAAAAGTCATCGTCCATTTCTTCATAACATTATGTAAGACTATTAAAATTGAAAAGCAGCTTTTCCTCAACGTTGAAAGCTTCTGCTTCTCTCCACTCAATACTTGTATACCTCAATGAATGAATAGATGTTTCATTTCGTCATGTTATTTTAATATTAAAACCCTTTTTCCTCCTCTTAGAAAGACAGTTTTCTACTTCTACTCAATTATTATCCAATTATTGGTACACAAAAAGAAAAGACACGCCTCATCAAGCAGGCAAGCCAGGCCGATGAAAATCAAAGACAGGCACACGATCACAAAAAGCTTAATAGGTTGTCAAGTGCCAGCAACCTATGAAGAAAATAAGAATACTTCCATCTCTGCCTCCAGTACTTGACATATCATAGAATCCAAAATGAACTTGACTATTCTCCGTAAAAGCCACTACTCAAAGCCATTCGATCTCGGAATCCTTGGATATCTATTATACTGCCATACCCTATAGACGGATATTCGAACGATCTCAATTTCAATGTCGTTTCGCGTCTTGATGTTGTCGACATCTTCCAAACTGATACATTCCTTTATGGACCGCAACATTCTCAGACCCAGACATTTCTACTGCCATGAAATCCATGGAGACCTTCGTTGCTGCTGAGAACCATTGTGTACACAACGGAGGTTTTCAGAACATACTCTTCTGTACCGTTTCACACATCCAGCACATTTAGCATCCTTGGAATCGTATAGAATCCATCATGGACCACAAGACTCTGAATACCATATATTTCTTGATTACTTACAATCTTTCATCAGCTATCGAAGACCTATACTAACAACAGCCGCTGCCGGCATATCACGATTTGAACAGGTTGCCCCCTCGAGTTCCTTTGGAATCCCAGCAATCTCATACAATCCATCATGACCCATCATATTCTCCTTACACATATTCTTTCCTGTCATCGCATGATTCGAATATATGGTATCCTCCAACACCTTCATAGTCACCAAAGAAACTTACTAGGATACCACAATTTACAACGTTTCCATCATCAGCATCTTTTGCAATCCTTGGAATCTGCTAAAATTCATCATAATCTACAATATTCTGCATGTCAGATATTGTTTCATTCCATCGACTCCGTGGACTCCTTCCTATCCGCCAAAAGCCCTATGGTGACCAGAGGGGTCTTATGCAGGTGTAGGTTAGCATGGGTTCCCACTTCAGGATCTTCTAGACTTCTTCGAATCTGATAGAATTCATCATGATCTACACTATTTGAAATACCAGACATTTTTTTATATCATAGAATCCTTGGTATCCTCTCAAAGTCCTATCGTGCCCAAAAGGAGTTTCAAAGAGGTCCAGCGTTGCATGGGTTCCCACTTCAGGATCTTTTGGAATCCATGGGATCTGATCGAATTCATCATGATCTACAATATTCGCAATATCAGACATTGTTCCCTAGACTGAAAGGCTAGGGTCTAGAAACGGAAATTCATCTGTGTCTGTCCGTAACACTTGGTAAAAATGACCATTTTTGTGGTATAAGTGACCATTTTCATGGTACACAAGTATCATTTTGGTGGTGCAGGCGACCATTTATTTGACACAATTGGCCATTTTCATTCGACAGATGACAGTTTCTATGGCTCAAATCAGCATTTCCACGCCACAAATAACCGTTTTTAAGGCACAGTTGACAACTCTTATGGCTCAAAGGAGCATGTCTGTGTCACAACTGGCCATGCCCGTATTAGAAATGGCCATTACTTTGGCATAGATCACAATTTTTAGTCGTTAAAATTAACTAAAGCATAAACTTTATCATATACATTAGCATCTTTCACTATTTCATCTGAACTATTTGTATATCACAGATGGGATCGGTTCGCATTTTTGGCAAACCGAACCGGCCGTAACCGAAAACAATCTCTAACCGAACCAACTGTAACCGACAGAGTTTTTTAAAATTTCTAACCGAACTGACCGTAACCGAAAAAATTTCTACGCGAACCGAACGTAACAGACCGAATCTTTAAAAATTTCCAATCGAACCGACTGAATCTCAAAAATTTCGCAATCCAACCTAGCTTAGAGAAAGCGAAGTTTAGGTTTCGTTAATTAGGGTATTAGTGCTTTATTAATTAGCAACATCGAATCAAACAATAGCAACTACCAACAATGAACATTTAGAGAAAGCAAAGAATAAGGCTTATTTATTGGATCTTCTTACTGTATTGTAACTTCCTTACCTCTCAAGACAAATTTAAAAAAATTGTGAGATAATTCGCGTTACGAGCAACAGCTAATTCTTGTACGATTATAGTATTTTTTCTTCTTATGTCTCACTGAAAAAGTCCATTGAACTCAAATCAAACGATGATGTCGATTCACCCTAACCGAACAGAATCTAACCCACCGAATACTTCAAAATTTCTAACCGAACCGACCGTATCCGAGAAAACCTGTAACCGAACCCAACCTAACCGATCGCAATTCTCCAAAATCTCCAACCGAACCGACGTCGGTTACGGTAAGTCGGTTAAAAACATCACCGATCCCGTCTCTGTTGTATATATCCATAGTATCCAACATAGATTACATTACAAAGATAAATAACTTCTCCTAAACTCATCATAATACACAGTTCACTTTTATTTGAAAATACAAGGACATATTTGCCGTCCTTCCATATTCGAGGCCCAAGTGCAACGACATTCAACGCCGTTGAACGCTACTCGTTCTATATCAGGAAATCCTTGGAATCTGTGATAGACTCTGAAACTCCTCCAGTGGCGAAACTGGGTTTCAATGACGTCCGGAGTTGCATGGGTACCCACTCCAGGAGCCTTTACAATCGTCGGAATCTCGTAAAATTCATCACGATCTACAATACTCGCAACATCCCACACGATAGCATATCATGGAATCCTTGGAATCATCGGTATCCCTGGACATCCGATAGTGACCAAACAGCATTTTGGATGCTCCATAGCTACATGCATACCCAATTCAACAGCTTTTGCAATCATTCGAATCCCATAGAATACATCATGATCTACAATATTCGAAATGCCACACATTGCTTCCTCTCTTAGAATCCTTCGTAATGAGTCAAAAGGCATACGCAGACCACAGGCGTTTAAGGTGGTTCACAGTTGCATGGGTTCCCGCTTCATGATCTTTTGGAACCGTTCGAATCTGACAGAATTCATCATAATGTACAAATATTCGAAATGCCACACTTTGTTTCCTCTCATCGAATCCTTGGAATCCTTGGTAATGCCTCAAAACGCCTATGGAGACCATAGGGGTTTCCAGCATGTCCGGCGTTGCATGAGATCCCACATCACGATACTTTGGAATCCTTCGAATCTCATAGAAGTCATCATGATCTACTATATTCGAAATGCCACACTTTGTTTCCTCACATGGAATCCTTGGAATCCTTGGTAATGTATGAAAAGTCCTCTGGACACTATAGGGGTTTTAAGGAGGTCCAAAGTTCCATCGGATCCCATTTCACGATCTTTTGGAATCCTTCGAATCTACTAGAAGTCATCATGATCTACTATATTCGAAATGCCACACTTTGTTTCCTCACATGGAATCCTTGGAATCCTTGGTAATGTATGAAAAGTCCTCTGGACACCATACGGGTTTTCTGGAGGTCCAAAGTTGCATGGGATCCGATTTGTCGATCTTTTGGAATCCTTCGAATCTACTAGAAGTCATCATGATCTACTATATTCGAAATGCCATACTTTTTTTCCTCTCATGGAATCCTTGGAGTCCTTGGTAATGTGTGAAAAGTCCACTGGACACTATAGGGGTTTTCTGGAGGTCCAAAGTTGCATGGGATCCCATTTCACGATCTTTTGGAATCCTTCGAATCTAGTAGAAGTCATCATGATCTACAATATTCGAAATGCCACACTTTGTTTCCTCTCATGGAATCCATGGAATCCTTGGAATGTGTGAAAAGTCCTCTGGGGTCCGTAGGGGTTTTCAGGAGGTCCGGAATTGCATGGGATCCCACTTCATGATGTTTTGGAATCCTTGGAATCTAATAGAAGTCATCATGGTCTACAATATTGGAAATTCCACACTTTGTTTCCCAAGGGGGAAACAACTGACTCCAGCCCCTTGGAGTCCATTGGAGTCATCGGAGTCCATCGGAGTCCTTTGAAGTTCATCGGAGTCCCTCGAAGTCCCTCGGAGTCCATCGGAGTCCATCGGGGTCCATCGGAGTCCTTTGGAGTCCCTCGGAGTCCCGTGAAATTCTCGTCAAATCTGGAGAAATCTATTATAGGAAAGGTCTGATATTGACGTGTCTTGATTTTCCTATCAATTGTAAAATCAAATAATATAGTTGTTAGTCTTGATTTGAAAATGAACGTACAACATCTATCTCTTCTCTGCATTCAGCACATTCATTTATTCTAAAACTTTAAACTAAACAGAATATCGTTTATTTAATAATAAAATCAAACAAAGTGTTAAACAAGAAAAAAAACATTTATTTATTTTTATTAGCCTGTTGTACTCGAAGTAGCCGGTCGTTTGATAGTTTACTTTTTTCTTCAGTTAATAACCAACAAGCAGTTTGTTTATGTAAATATTTTGTATCATCATTAATTGTAACTTTAAAATAACAATGTTCTGTGTCAGATTCAACCTTACTGCAGATCTTTATTCCAGCAAACTCATTTTTTGTGGTATTTATTGAATTATCAGTATCTTCTTGTTCGTCTTCAGCAGTGTAATCAGCATTCGAGGAAAAACTGTCATTATTATCATCATCCATGTTAAGATCATCTGTTGTTTCATTATCATCATCATCATCATCATCTATTTCAAATTCACCATCATCCATATTACTTCGTTGAGATGAATAGTCATACATCTTTGAATTAGAATTTAATTGTTTAAATACATATTCACTTAATAATTTTAAATCGAGAACACGTTTGTTTTTCAGCACATTTAATATTTCTAAGCCATCGAGCATATCAATAGCTTCATGGTACGCCTTGGTAATAATTTGTTCAATATCTATTTGATCAATCTCATTTTGACTTTCTGTACATGATGATTGTCGATCATTTTGATGTTTGTGATGAACTGGAAAGGCCAAATTATTAACTGATTCATCATTCGATTACTTACATTTAATATCATTCAATAATGAAAGTCTTTGGGCACGTCGTAAAAAATCATATACTGTAAAATTAACTATAGTTGAGTAAATTCCACTTAATGCTCGCGTGTTTCTAAAAATTGATTCACAGGCTTGTGAACTAAAAGCATGAATACACAGTACATGTGGTGGTAGTTGTTTTTGTTTGACAAGTAAAACTAAATATAATAAATTGTGTGCGTTTATTTCAGCCGATAAGTATGCTGGTCTGGTAATAAAATATCTGCTTTTGTTTTCTGTAGATTGCATTGAATTGAATGTGTTAAATCTAATCCATGTAAACCATATTCTACAAAAAAACACGACACACCAAGCAGATCGAAGTCCTAAAATAAAATCTTGTTATATGTGGTGTTTCTTGATTGAAGAGTTTCTCGCTCTCAGACAACAGATATGATAAATGCATATACTTACGTTCAGCAATAGTTGTTTTTTTCTCAACGTAGGCCACTACAATCATTTTTAACATCTGAAGATAAATTAATGTTCCTCGAGTATTAACATTATCATTTAAAATTTTGAATAGATCAGTAGATGTTAATTTTAAACAGGAACTAAAGTTTTGACGATCCTTAGGATTAATGTCAGATTTTGTTAATCCATGATCAAGTTTAGTATAAATGTCACTATTGATAATATCATGTAAATGGTTAATCGATATAAATTGATTACCAAGGTGTAATTCGGCTGTTGGTGATAATAAACGATTACGCCATTTGGTTACCAAATGTGTTGCGTCTTGAAAAAATAATAAAACCTGTTGTTCACGTAAATAAAACCAAGGCCAATGTGATGTTGTTTTTATTTCAAAAGCTTGTGGATGTCGATGAACTTGAAAATTAGGGAGAGATCCGAAAAAACCACTCATTAATCTCATAGCGCGTACATATTTAGCATCAGCATCTATAAAAAAAAGTTACTCTTTTGTAAGATTTGAATTAACAGTATTTAGTTATTTTCTCACCAGTAGAAAAACCAATAATTCTTATATTTCTTTGTAAACACTGGTTGAATATATACCACCATCTTTGTAATATATCATTTGCTGTAGCGGTATTATCAATTCCATATGCTGATAGTAGAAAAGGACTTGGAATAATACTTTGATTTGAAGCTGGAATAGGCTGAACCATATGTACATTGAGTAATGATGCTTTTTCAATTGAATTAAACCAGATTCTCAATGTATCAAATGAATCAGTTTGATAATATTCTTTAATCGGTACTCCACAATCAAGTGGTGTAGAAAACCCATTGAATGTATTTGTTGTTGAGTCATATTTTATTTTTTTAATTATACCGGTAGCATCTTCAGAGCCGAATGCATATTGAATATTAAGTTGATCAAAATGTTTTTGAAGTTGATCAAATCGTAATTCTCCTTCATTAATTTTTGAATCTGACTTGGAAATTAATTTATTTAACATAGTTAAATTCGGTAGAGAGCCTGGCAAATTTAATCGAATGAATTCATATGTTAATTTTCCACCTAGTATATATAATGATAAAGCAAAGTTCTTGATTTGGTCGCTATATCGAAAACCAGTCCCAGACTTTGTTAAATTGCTAGTTATTGTATCAATAAACTCTTTTAAAAAACAATATTTATCTTCATTATTATTATTATCATTATCAATTCGTTGATAATAAAGAACCAAGTTCTTTAACAATGGATGTTTGTTAATAAAATCAAAAGATAAACTAGGATTTGCATCAGCATAACTACCTTCTATTATTTTTTTTTGTTGCCGTTGTTTTAAGAAATCAAGTAAATAATTTATATTATTTATTAATCCAATTTTTACAATAAATTGACCATCATCGAGCTGCAAACATGATTTTTCTCTAATTAATAAGAAACTAGGCTCTGAACATTTCATATTAAATATTTCAAATATATCTGGATTTCGAATTAAAGATTGTGTAGGTGTTATTGATTGAAATTTCAAGACATCTACTATTTGTTGTCCAACTAATTGTTGAATAAATGTATAGAATTCTTCATTTTTTAACGAAAAAAGATTATCTGTAAATGTATCATCCATTGGAAGAAAAAGCACAATTTCTTTTTTATATTTTATCTTAAAAAATAATTAGAAGTATAATAATATCAGTTTAGAAACTGTTTGAAGATTAATATTCACGATATTCTTTTTTATAGAAATTCTAATTAATAAACTTCTGTTGGTGAAATGATGTATCGATACTTTGTGGAAAAAAAACATTATAATAAAAGGTGGAATGTCGCTAAAAACAATACAATAATAATCTGGATAATATATAAAGCATAACGTTAGAAGCTATTGGCTGACTATATTCTTGAGTCATGAATCATATCATTTCAAGATGATATACATTATGTTTTCTTTTTTTTTTCACACACATCGTCTCTGAAAAGAATTTTTTTATAGATAATTAATAACCAAATATGTTTAAATTAGATGTTCTTATTGATACATCTGTATTACCATCTAATATAATGTTATTACGTGATGAAAAGTTTATTAATTTCGTGAAAGAAGAAGCCGGTGATGCTGCTGCTGAATTACTTGAAATACAAAGCATTAATTGTGTAAAGTCATTGTTGATGACAGCCGATGTTTTTGCAATTATGAACGTTAAGAGTAAAAGTCTTGATGATTTAAAAAAAAAATATGGTTATATGCTAGATGATAATACATTTGTTGTACAACCTGGAGTAAAAGGAAATATAGAATATCTTATTGATTTGTTAAAACAAAAATGTGTTGATGATGCAAAATTAGTTAAATTTTCAAAACGTAATGAATTATTATCATCATTAGATAATACTACAGGTGCATCATCAACAATAACAAAATCAAATTCAATTATTTCATCCAATACGTCATCAGAAACAATGACATCGAAATCTTTTAATTTATCAATTAATGAAAATAAAATATATATAATTGATACTTTGAATAACTGGTTTGAAAGTAATAAATCAAAATATAATTTTTCACATTTTACTTTAATTGAGGGTCAACATTACTTTATTTCAATATTAAGTGGTGCAAATGATATGCTAAAAGGTAACATAAAATGCTGTTGCGGAAAATGGTTATCATTAACATTAAGACGTGGTAAATTTCAAATGTCTAACTTCTACCGTCATTTACAAGATTCACGTAATGGTAACATATGTAATACAATAAAAGAAATGAAAAATAATCCTCAATCAACACTATCGTCATCAACAAATAATCAACAATCATTTACACCATCAGATTATGTATCTGAACAAACATCACCATCAACAAATAATCAACAGCCATTTACAATATCGGAAAATGTATATCCGCAAACATCATCACCAAATCGCGTACCTAATATATCACCACCAATCACCATTCAATCAAATTCTACTTTATCTATACCATCTTCTATCTCTTTATCAATAGATGATGATGGAACTACTATAACACAATCGTCATTAGCAACTAAACGGCAAGTAAAAAGAAAAGTTCAAGCAATAGAATCTTCATGTAACAGAAGAGAATCAACAAAAAGAACAACAACATAAGATTTACGTGTGAAACATTATATTGCTTGTTCTTTTCGAATTACTTCTCTAATATTCTCTTATTTAGTAAGATTCTATATCAAATCGATATTTTCTAACTTAATAATTCACTTATTGTATTCATACATGCTTGGTCTACTTCGTAATTTATTATTTTTATGTTTATACATTTGTTTTACATTTTACCCATGATGTTTAAGCAAATATATGAGATGTTGATAGTAATAAAAGCCCTTCTTTTGAGCAAACACTAATTGAATAATTTTCGTATCTTCGCGAATGTTCACATATTTTCACTTATATAATTTCTTTTCTTTGTTTTTAGTAATCACTCGTGAAAACCAGTAGATTTACATCATAGCAAGGGCTCTTGAACTCCGCCTATGTATGGAGTCCCATGGAGTCCCATGGAGTCCCATGGAGTCCCATGAAGTCCCATGGAGTCCCGGAGTCAGTTGTTTCCCCCTTGATTCATCATCATCTACAATACTCGGAATGCAAGACTTTGTTTCCTTTCATGGAATCCTTGGAATAGTTGGTAATGCGTCAAACGGTCTGTGGAGTCCATAGGGGTTTTCAGGAGGCCCATGGTTGCATGGGCTCCCACTTTGCGATCTTTTGGAATTCCTGGAATCTGATAGAATTCATCATCATCTACAATATCCGAAATGCAAGACTTTGTTTCCTTTCATGCAATTTATGGAATAGTTGGTAATGCGTCAAAACGTCTGTGGAGACCATCGGGGTTTTCAGGAGGCCCAGAGTTGCATGGGTTCCCACTTTGCGATCTTTTGGAATCCTTGGAATCTGATAGAATTCATCATGTTCTACAATATTCGAAATGCAACACTTTGTTTCCTTTCATGGAATCCTTGGAATAGTTTGTAATGCGTCAAAAGGTCTATGGAGTCCATAGGGGTTTTCAGGAGGCCCATACTTGCATGGGTTCCCACTTTACGATCTTTTGGAATCCTTGGAATCTGATAGAATTCATCATCATCTGCAATACTCGAAATGCCACACTTTGTTTCCTTTCATGGAATTTATGGAATAGTTGATAATGCGTCAGAAGGTCTACGGAAACCATGGGGGTTTTCAGGAGGCCCATACTTGCATGGGTTCACACTTTACGATCTTTTGGAATCCTTGGAATCTGATAGAATTCATCATCAGCTACAATATTCGAAATGCAAGACTGTGTTTCCTTTCATGGAATCCTTGGAATAGTTTGTAATGCGCCAAAAGGTCTATGGAGTCCATAGGGGTTTTCAGCAAGGCCCAGAGTTGCATGGGTTCCCACTTTACGATCTTTTGGAATCCTTGGAATCTGATAGAAATCATCATGTTCTACAATATTCGAAATCCAATACTTTGTTTCCTTTCATGGAATCCTTGGAATAGTTTGTAAAGCGTCAAAAGGTCTATGGAGTCCATAGGGGTTTTCAGGAGACCCATGGTTGCATGGGTTCCCACTTTGCGATCTTCTGGAATTCTTGGAATCTGATAGAATTGATCATCATCAACAATATTCGAAATGCAAGACTTTGTTTCCTTTCATGGAATCCTTGGAATAGTTTCCAATGCGTCAAAAGGTCTATGGAGTCCATAGG